ATCACAGCCTGCATCCCTGACCAGCCATTTTACAAATCATCAGTTACAAGGAAGACCATGCCAAAGAGCACACACGAGTCTGTGCCAATTCATCATCACTCCTGGGAACACAGTTCAGGGACTTAGCTGTTCAACTGAGATAGCGACAAAATCATCTTTGTTCCCAAAGGACAGCTTTTGCAATGTGATTCTAACGACAAAAATTATATGTTATTTTATATAATAAAGCCATAACTGTCAATATCTTTTTCAAAGATGAACTCTCATTTCATTACTTATTTGTAGCTAGTTCATAATAAAATAGCTTAAAAGCCAAGCTTATCTAAGTATGCCTTTTATTGGTAATGGGATTCTCGGTTTGTAATAACCAGATTCATAGACCTGAATCAGATGGTCGCATTGTGATTAAATGAGTGAACCTATGCAACCATCATCTGAAGAATAAGCAGTTAAATATTTAATTAATTTATTTATTTATTGGAAGGGATTTTCTGATTTTCCAGTGTGATTGACAAATTTTCAGTTCATATACACATTTCCCCAAAATGAAACTTTGTTCTCTTCAGTACAGTAGCCTTGTAAAATCATATTGTAGATAGGCCATTGTAGATGTGCCATTATATTAACATTGACATACTGGCTTACTTCCAGGGTAATTATATATGGTTTACATGGCAGGGAGGGGAGACTTCTGTTCCTTTTTCAGAAATCAGTTTCTGAGACTCTTTAGTATCATTGAGAGAGAAGTACTGTTTCTACTAAAATTGAATCTATGACTATCAGTAAAATCTGCTGAAATACAAAAACAAAATATCTCATTGCTAATAACAGCATAATGTTAAGATCACCCATAAGATAGGAGCATAGTTTATACCCAGTATTTATTCTTAATCAGTTTCATAAAACATAATCTGAGTTTTATTTTTTAACAAAAGCTTTTGAGTCATTTTGATAAGGTCCACAGAAAGCACAGTCTTTTAACATTAGGTGATCAACTTTTTGACAATGGCAGGACCAGCATAGCTAATGGAATAATAGCCTGCAGGGTCCAGCTAAATATGATATACGAATGTAATCAACCTCTGTGATGACTATTCAAAAGTAATCCCTTTAGCTTTGAACTGCGACATATATTTCAACAAGGCAAAAACCATATGAAGAAATTCTCTGCAGACCACACTGATACAATACAGCCTTCGTATCATACTTTCTGTGTTTGCTGCTCATAGTGAGTTTTAAATTTAAGGTAATGACTACTGCATATTCATGTGAGCATGCAACAATACTTTTGATTTGTTGTAGAAAGGTTGAATCCATTACCAGGGGTCTAGCCTATAAACTTTGACACAACCTTTATGAATGAGTTATTAACCCTTTTTTAGAGTAAGGCCACTACAAATGTTTAGCATGCCAAAATTATAAAAATTCATTTACCTTTCCAGTCACCAAACTACCAGGAATGTCAACTCCATTTCAATTCATACTTCTCAGCAGATAACATTTTTTAAATCTTATTTATATATAATACTGTATCATATAAATATTATATTCCATTGTTTCCAAAAAAGGGATGCAATTTAGCATTTTCTAGCTTATTCTATTGCTTTTGTAACATATAGGCTAAGTGGTGGTATAAATGAGATCTTTTTGTTGCCCACTTGAATCTACCATTTCAGAGTCTTTACTGTTAGCAACAAAGAAGTGCCAATTTCTAATGAAATGTAGATTGTATGAGCAAATATCACACTGCAATGTGCTGCTGCTTCTGGTCTCCCTTACTAAAGTGTTATTGGTCCCAGTATTCCAGCTCCCTTGAAGTCCTATAGAACAGACATCTCAAATAACATCTTAAGTCAGACCCACAGCACAAAACCTAGGTTATAATCAAAATGAGTGTTTTTGCAAAAACCAAGAGTCAACAGTCCTGTGATGAATGAATACTAATGTCTCACACTCAGACCCAGAAGAAGTATCCAGTCATGCACTGCATAAGGACATTTTTGTCAACAATATATGCCACACACTGTGGTGGTCCTAAAAGATTATAATGGAGTTGAAAGATTCCCATGCCCTAGTGACATTGTAGCCATCATAATGTTGTGAGGCAATGTATTACCTTTACTATGTTTGTCTGTACAAATACTCATTATAGTGTTACAGATCCTGTAATATTCAGTATAGTAATGTGCCAAACAGGTTCGTAGCCCAGAAGCAATACACTATACCATATAGCCTAGGTATTTAGTAAGCTATGCCATCTAGATTTGTGTAAGTACACTCTCTGATGTTCCTACAACATCACCTAATGACTCATTTCTCAGAATGTATCCCTGTCATTAAGTGACACATAACTGTGTATCACTTTGCTCATGTTCATTGGTGAGAACTTAAGTCACTTGGCTTTAGCTAAATAGTTCTCTACTGATAGGGATGATCTAATAGAGAGGAAGAGCATTGATGAGTGGGAGGCAGAAGGAAGGACTGATGCTATGTCTAGTGTAGACAAGAGGACATGAGATCTAGTGAAGAAGTAGAGGGATAGGCCTTAGACTGTTCATTGATACTAACAGAAGGGAAAATAGAGTATATAGAACAGAAGCAGTAGGTGATTAACTCTTGCCACAGAGCTTGTGGAAAATTTTTCCTACTGTCTTTTATTTCCTCTATGAAGCCAAAAAACAAATCATCAGCTGAGAAAAGTGGAGGGTGGGAGGTTTGAGAAAAATAGAACAGTTAGTCATCCAGGGGATTGAAAGAATAAGTGGACCAGGAATGTTTCATAGATTGGCCTGGAAGTATAAGGTTCTAATTAATGTTTGTGGCCATGAATTTAAGATGAGGCCTCTCAGACCAATTGTGTATTTTCTCCAGCCATATTGAACCATCAGTGCAGGAGAGTAATAGGCAGAGAATGGGATTTAACTGGGGTTATACTTTTGCCAAGTGAGCAAACAAAGTGAAAGGTGGAGAAATTGAGATTTTATGCAAGGAAATGAATAACCATGGAATTTAAATTACAGGAGGACGGAAGAAGAAACAAAAAAATGAGGAGACACTGTGAAAAGGTGGTAGGGTTGGAGGTTTCAATGAAGTAGAAGAATTGCTGAGGTCGGGATACCAAAGGGAGTGATCTGCAAACACAAAAGGAGGCAGTCAGGTAGTTAAATGCAGGAAAGTGAGCTAGAGGGGGTTCATAGTTACTGGTAATGACAAGGTCTAAGTATGACCAGGGAAATCAATGGCTGTGGTATTGTAAAGGACAAGATGTAAGAGAACAAGAGGTCAAAGAATTGAGACTTAGGGTGGAATAATCTTCTACCTCTACACTGAAATTTCTAAATTAAGAAAGTAGTAGTACAATGACATTGAGGCAATGATAACATCAGTTGGGAATGATTCCACTTGTAGATAGATCACAATAGTGACAAATGGTTAACTGTGTAGTTTAATGACATGAGTGTTAGAAAGGGAAAGAGAAAGGGCAAATATCCTGCAAGAACAGGGAGGAAGAAGGCACCAACTAGGTCCCTCTCCAGGTCCAGTAGTGAGAAGACCAAGAAAAACAAAAACAAAAACAACAGATTTCTGGGCCTATAGTCTCTTGAGTGAAGAGCCAGATTTCTGTTAAAGCAAGAAAGTAGAGGGAATTTCAGAAAATAGGGTAAGGATATAGAGTATTTTGCTGAAGTAATGGACCAAATATTCCAAAACGCAAAGTGGAACTCTTTCAGGAATTGCGGTGGGTGGGAGATGGGGACAGAATAGGAAAGGTACTAAAAAATGGAATACAGAAAATGGGACCTGAAAACTGGGGCCTGTCATAAGCAGAAATAAACAGCATATTATTAGATTAATCCCAATTGATTCAAATCAAAAGTAAAAGGGCAGATATAAAAGTTAAAATTAAATAACAAATTAACATGCTGCCCTCTCTCTCTCTCTCTATATATATATAATATGATAAATTAAGTCATTTGTACATATATATCTACACATATAAACACTTCCCATATTTGACTTCATTATTATGATAATTTTATCATAATATATATGATATATTTATTATGATGATAAATATAATAATTATATCATAATTATTATGATAATGAAGTCAAATATGGGAAGTGTTTATATATGTATGTTTATATATACATAGTTATATATAGCTATATATATGTAAACATATAAAATATATACGTGTATATATAGATACACACACACACACACATACATGTAGATAGATATATAAACTTCCATATTTGACTTCATTATTTGGGTACTTTATATTGCTCCCTAAATTAATTTTCCTTTTGAGTATTATTTTTAAAAGTCATCTTACCCAACAAAAGGTGGCCTTTCAGCAGCCATTTTATTATATCACCAGAATTCTGTGGATTAAGAATTCAGGCAGGGCTCGGCTGGACATTAATTGAAGTCACTAAGTGGTATTCAGCTGGCAGATGGGCTGGTTTGAAGGGTCAAAGACAGCTTCACTCACAGACTGGAGGCTTGGCCAAGATGGATGCAAGGCTGGACTCAGCTGGGACCATCTGCTAGAACATCTATACATGGCCATTCCAGCATGGCAGTCTCAGGGTATGAGGACTTACGTGGTGACTTGCTTCCTCCAAAAATGCATCCTAAGATAAAGTAGAGGCTGCATAGCCTTTTTGAACCTAGCCTCAGAGCTCATTTTTGTCACTTCCTCCACATTCAGTTGATCACCAAAGAGTCTTAAGGGTAACTCAATTTCAAGAGGAAAACTAGATTCTGCTTCTTCATGAAGAATTGACAAGATTGTGCTGTACAGGAACATGTGGAATGGGAGAGATTGTTGCGGCCATCTTAGAACCATACAATCTGCCCTGATGATACATACACCCTTATATTATAGATGATAAGGACAGATATCCCTGAAAAGGGATACCCAGGTTCAATATCAAAATAACTATAAACTGTGTTCATAATAAACCATTAACTTTATATATCTTTTTTTTTAGAAGAGTTTAGAGGATCCACAGTGGAAGGTGTATCTCAAAACTCAACATTTGGAAGAACTCAGCAGGTACAATAAATCAAGTAAAAAGTTTCTGTTAAGTATTCACTTTGCACAATATACTAAGTATAATTTCATTCTCCAAACACGGGAAGAGTAGTTTAATCCAGCACCTGATAAGCTTATTACTGAAACACTGCTTTAAAAAAGAATCACATATTTATTTTCAAATATTATATAAGATTAAGTATTTTTAATTTTTTAAGCCACATCTGAAAATTACAGAAAGCAAAATATTTTTCAAAATAAATGTTCTTTGCTTTCTAGTCCAGCATAAAAGTTAAATTTGTAATTTTTTTTCAGATTTCCAGGTGATCAAAAAAATCAAACTTAAAGCAGCTTTTCACTTAACATCAAAGCAAGAAGAAATCCCTCATGTCACTTAGACTTCGATACTTGTCTTGAGTCTTGAGACTTCAATACTTGTAATAGAAGCATGTTACAAATAATAAAGAGTTATGATAAAACTGACTATGACTGTTTTCATTAGATTTTGTATTGCAGTATATTACTACAAATTTAGTCCAAAACATCTAAATCCATGAAAATAAAATATATCCCAGTTCTTAGAAATATCAGCAATTATCCATGAAATAAATTATTTTTCCTCTGATCAACTATTCCACAAGAAATAGTGATACCATAAAACCAAAATGAGAAAATATTTTCTAATGAGAAAATAATTACAAGCTTAAGAAAATCATGCTGAATTAATGTAGGATAATATTTACTAAAATTCATTGGAAGTAAAGCATTGCTCAACAAATGCAAAACAACTGAAATCATAAAAAAAATATTTACTAAAATTCTAGGGAAACTGTTCAACATAGATAAAATAAGTATAAGAATTAAGACTATCCTATTGATAAATACTGTTTGGAACAGTTTGCTTTACCTGTGTACAAGTATATTTTATGATACTTTTAGCTGATAGCACATAATCAAACTTATGCAGGTCAATTTTAAAAGTTTAACTAAGCCTTTCAATCTTATAGACCTTACCTAATGTGTCTTGCAAATGAAAGAACACAGCTGAGGTGGTTACATGTATAATTTCAGGAGATCTGAAGATTTGGGGGAATTTATGAATAAAGTACATTACAAACAATAAAGACTTTTCTTCCCACTTAATCTTGGTCAGTACACACTTAAAAACTGGTTTCTCTAAAAAAGAGTCCAAATAGCCAAAACAGTCCTAAGAAAAAAGAAAAAAGCCAGTGGCATAATATTACCCAACTTCAAACTATATTATAAGGCCACAGCAGCCAAAACAGATGGTACTGGTAAAAACAGACACATAGGCTACTGGAACAGAATAGAGAAGCCAGCCACACACCCGCAGCCAACTGATCTTTGACAAAGTCAACAATAATAAGCAGTGGGGAAGGTACTTCCTACTCAATGCTGAGACAACTGGCTGGTCATATGCAAAAGAATGAAACTGGACCCCCTATTTTTTTTTTACCTATTTTTTGCCACATACAAAAAGTAATCAAGTTGGATTAAAGGTTAAACCTCAAACTATAAGAAATTAAAACCTCCAACTAAGAGAAAACTTAGGAAACATGATTCTGGCAATTGGCTATGGGAAAGAACTTATGACCATGTCCTCAAAAGCAACTGCAGCAAAACGAATAATTGATAAGTGAGATTTACTTAAACTAAAGAGCTTCTGTACAACAGAATAAACTATTAACAAAGTAAATAGACAACCTACAGAATCGAAAAAAAAATCCACAAACAGTGCATCTGACAAAGGAACAAAAGAAACTATTAACAGAGTAAATAGACAACCTACAGAATGGAAGAAAATATCCACAAACAGTGCATCTGACAAAGGTCTAATATCCAGGAACTTAAACAATGTAACAAGCAAAAAACCAGGTAACCCCATTTTTTAAAATGGGCAAAAGACATGAACAGACACTTTTCAAATGAAGACATACATGCATCTAATAAACATATGAAAAAATGCTTCACATCACTAATCATCAGAGAAATGCAAATCAAAACCACAATGGGATTTAGGATTGCATTCACACCAGCCCAATGCTTATCATTAAAAAGTCAAAAAACAGATGCTGGCAAGGCCATGGAGAAAAGCAAATGCTTATACACTGTTGGTGGGAATGTAAGTTAGTTCAGACACTGTCGAAAGCAGCTTGGAGATTTCTCAAAGAACTAAAAACAGAGCTATCATTTAACCTGACAATCTCATCACTGGATATATATCCAAAAGGAAATAAATTATTCTACCAAAAAGACATATGCACTTAGATATTCATCACAGCACTATTCACAGTAGCAAAAACATGAAACCAACCTAGGAGCCCATCAACATTAGATTCAATAAAGAAAATGTGGTACATATACACCATGAAATACTATGTAGTCATAATAAATAATGAAACCATGTTCTTTGCAGTAACATAAATGCAGTTGGAGGACATTATCCTAAGTGAATTAACACAGGAACAGAAAACCAAACACCACATGATTTCACTTATAAGTGGGAGCTAAATATTGAGTACATATGGACATAAAGATGGGAACAGTAGACACTGGCAACTACTAGAGGAGGGAGAGAAGGGGCAAGTGTTGAAATTACCTATTGGATGCTATGCTCACTATTTTAGTGACAGGATCAATTGTACCTCAAACATCAGCATTACACAATATACCCATGTAACCAACCTGCACATATACTCTCTTAATCTAAAGTAAAGGTTGAAATTATTTTTTTAAAAAATTAGGTTCCTTTGAATGCTCCATGATTGAAGAATAGGGACTCACCTTGGAGTACTGCAGTGTGTGGAATCATTCTACTTTCTACATAATATTGAAATTTTAGCACTCTGCCCAAGAAAATTATTCAGTGTATCAGTGGAATGAACATGATTCAATGCGAATATCAAAAAATAGTTCAAAAGGTATATGGGTGAAAAAGTGTTTTCTTGTGTTGTTTATTTAATCAGTAAAACCAATTTCTACAGTATCTGATTCATGAATGCTCTTTTGTAGTGTCCACAGATTTCCATGGGTTTTGCCCTAGAATTAAAATTAAGGTTGGTTTCTCTCTTTAAAATGACTGCAGATATCTACCTTTAGACTTACAAAATATTGAGACAGAAATAAGGTGGTTAAGGATGGTATCTGAGAACACACCTTTTATAATGATCACTACCAAGTTCTTTTTTCCCAGAAATTTCCTGCTTTTGCTAGGAAGAGTCATTTTAAAAAATGATGCTGGCCAGGGACAAATAGATAAATGAAATAGAAAAGACCATTCAGAAATAGTCTAAATTATATATAATATTTAGTACATGATAAAGGTGGCATTTCAAAACAATAAGAGAAGGATAGACTCTATAAGGAAGGTTCTGAGAACATTCGTTATCTCTACAGAAACAAAATCCATAATGTGTTCATTATCTCACATTATCAAATCAAACTAAACTATAAATATATCATTATTCAATGCTGGGAAATGTTTTTCTAATGTCGGGTTGGAGAACACCTTCCTAAGCAAAACAATCAGCATCAGGTGTAGACTATTCTGCACCTCTACAACATACTAGAGTACATTGAAAAGATCCATACAGTGAAAAGTCATTGAACAAAGTTATAAGACCAATGACAGAGCAAAAGAACTTGCAACAAAAAACCCTAATGCTCATAAAATACAGACAGTTTATTTACAATAAATAAAGAAGAGAAGAAAAAACTGAAGGGAAAAATAATTTGGTATGCAAAAGCACAAAGGATACAAGTCGGCAATTCCGAAAAGAAAAAATACCAATGATTAATACACACAATAAAAGTTAGCCAAGATGGAACACTTACACATTGCTGATGAGAATCTGAAATGGTATAAACACAATGGAAAAACAATATATAAGCTCCTCAAAAAGCTAAATATAAAATTACTGTATATGATATTACAGCAACTCTAACCTAACTGATAAGGTATTATTTTCCACCAATTGAATTAACAAAAATTTAAAAGATTGAAAATATCCACTGTGGCTGGAGCTCTCATGACCTAAACATGTGAACTTTGGGAGACATATTCAAGCCACAGTGGAATGTCCATCCCCTAAAGTTCACCTGTTGGAAATTAATCCCCAAGGTAACAGGTATGGGAGATGAGGACTAATGGAGGGACTAATGAGGACTAATGTTTAAGTCATGAGAGCTCCATTATCATGAATGGATTAATCCTGATTATAAAATGGCTGTAGGTTCAATCTCTTGCACTCTCTCACTCTCTCTTTGCCTTCTGCCATAAGATGACACCACAAGGCTTTTACCAGATACTGGAACCTGAATTTTGTACTTGCCAGCCTCCAGAACTGTGAGCCAATAAATTTTTGTTCATTATAAACTACCCAGCCTGTGGTAGTCTGTTATAGCACACAAAATGGACTAAGACACACTCCCATATGTTATTAATAGGAATAAAAACTGATAAAATTTTTATGAAGTCAACGTATTTGGCAGTACTTATAAAAATGTAAAAAAAATGTCCTGGGCCAGGCTCGGTGGCTCAAGCCTGTAATCCCAGCACTTTGGGAGGCCGAGGCGGGTGGATCACGAGGTCAAGAGATCGAGATCATCCTGGTCAACATGGTGAAACCCCGTCTCTACCAAAAAATTAGCTGGGCATGGTGGCGTGTTCCTGTAATCCCAGCTACTCGGGAGGCTGAGGCAGGAGAATTGCCTGAACCCAGGAGGTGGAGGTTGCGGTGAACCGAGATCGCACCATCGCACTCCAGCCTGGGTAACAAGAGCGAAACTCCGTCTCAAAAAAGAAAAAGAAAACGTCCTATGAGCTAACATTTCTATTCTAGAAATATTTTCTTCAAAATTATTCAGACAACTGCACAAATATTTACATATAATGATGTTCATCTCAGATCATCTGTAATATTGGGAAATTGAAACCATCTTAAATATCCATTAAATTGGGAATTATTAAATTATGGTACATCCATACAACAACATAATATGTGATCATTAAAAATGTGAAATAAAGTTTAATGTACTAACATGGAATTATGTCCATGGTATATTGTCAAGATAAAATCAAATTATAGCCATGGACTTAAATGTAAGACCTAAAACTATAAAACTTCTAAAAGAAAACATCGGAGAAAATTTTTGTGAACTTAAGCAAAGATACCTTAGGAGACAAAATGCACAAAACATAAAAGAAAAATTTATATAGTGTACTTCATCAAAAGTAAAATGCCTGCTCTTATAAAAATGTTAAAATAAAAAGACAAGTTCTCAGATTGGTAGAAAACATTTGCAAAATACCTATCTGGTAAAGTACTTGTATTGAAAATATGTAAAGAACTTTTACAGCTCAATAGAAAGACAAAGAATGCAAATTTAGAAATAAACAAAATATTTGAACAGGCTTGTCACCAAAGAAGAGCCACATACAGCAAATAAACACATGAAAAGATCCTCAGCATCACTGGTC